GTCAGAATTTCCTTTCTTTTTAAAGCTAAATAATATTCCACTGTATGCATCTACCACATTTTGTTTATCCATTCATATGTTAATGGACACTTCCGTTGATTCCAACTTTTTAGGAGTTGTGAATAATGCTGTTAAGCACATGGATGTACAAATATCTCTTTGAATGGCTAAAATTAGTAAGTCAGGAAACGACAGATGTTGGTGAGGATGCAGAGAAGGGGGAACCCTCTTACACTGTTGGTGGGAATGCAAGCTGGTGCAGCCACTCTGGAAAACAGTATGGAGGTTCCTCAAAAAGTTGCAAATAGAGCTACCCTCTGACCCAGCAATTGCACTACTGAGTATTTACCCCAAAGACACAAGTGTAGTGATCCAAAGGGGCACCTGCACCCCAATGTTTATAGCAGCAATGTCCACAATAGCCAAATTATGGAAAGAGCCCAGATGTCCATTGACAGATGAATGGATAGAGAAGATGTGGTATATATGTACAATGGAATACTACTCAGCCATCAAAAAAATGAAATCTTGCTGTTTGCAACAATGTGGATGGAATTAGAGAGTACTATGCTAAGTGAAATACGTCATCAGAGAAAGAATTATATGATCTCATTTATATGTGGAATCTAAGAAACAAAACAGGATCATGGGGAAAGTAAGGGAAAAATAAAACAAGGTAAAAACAGAGAGGGAGACAAAACAAGAGACTCTTAACCATAGGAAACAAGGAGGGTTTCTGGAAGGGAGGTCAGTGGAGGGATGGGGTAACTGGGTGATGGACATTGGGAAGGGCACGTGATGTGATGAGCACTGGGTGTTATATGCAACTGATGAATCACTAAACTCTACCTCTGAAACTAATAATACACTGTATGTTAATTAATAGAATTTAAATTTAAAACAAAAACAAATATCTCTTAGACACTCTGCTTTTAATTCTTTTGGATAGATACCTAGAAGCAGAATTGATGAATCTTATATTAATTCTATTTTTAAGTGCTCGCTTTGGCAACACACGTACTAATTCTATTTTAAATTTTTGAGGAACCTCCTCTTTTCCATAGCAGCTGCACCATTTGACATTACCACCAGCAGTGCTCAAGGATTCCAGTTTCTCCACATCCTTACCAACAGTTATTTTCTGGGTTTTTTTGTTGTTGTTGTTTTTTAAGTAGTATCCATCCTAAATGGGTGTGAGGTAGTATCTTATTATGGTTTTGATTGTGTTTCCGTAACAATTAGCAGTGTTGAGTATCTTTTCATAGCTTATTGGCTATTTGTCTATCTTTGTTGAAGAAATGTCTATTCAAGTCTTTTGCTCATTTTTTTTAACTGGGTTATTTTGTTGTTGAGTTGTAGGAGTTCTTCATACATTCTGAATATTATCCCCCTATCAGATATATGATTTACAAATATTTTCTCCCATTCCGTAGGTTGCCTTTGTTTACTGTGTCCTTTGATGCACAAAATTCTTAAATTTTGATGTAGTCCAGTTTATCTATTTTTATTTTTATTGCCTGTGCTTTTGGTGTCCTAGTCAAGAAATTATTACCAGAGGGGCGCCTGGGTGGCTCAGTCGTTAAGTGTCTGCCTTCGGCTCAGGTCATGATCCCAGGGTCCTGGGATCGAGTCCCGCATCGGGCTCCCTGCTCCGCGGGAACCCTGCTTCTCCCTCTCCCACTCCTCCTGCTTGTATTCCCTCTCTCGCTGTGTCTCTCTCTGTCAAATAAATTAATAAAATATTAAAAAAAAAAAATTATTACCGGATCCGATGTCTAAAACTTTTCCCCTGTTTTCTTCTGACAGTTTTATAATCTTAGCTCTTAAGTTTAGGTCTTCATCCATTTTGAGTCGATTTTTATACATGGTGTAACTTCATTCTTTTGCATGTGGATATCCAGCTTTCCCAACATCATTTGTTTAAGACCATCCTTTCCCCTATTGAATGGTCTTGGTACTCTTGTCAAAAATCATTTGACCATATATGTGAAGGTTTCTTTCTGGGATCTCTATTCTATTCCCTTGGTCTGTTCATACCACACTGTTTTGATTACCATAGCTTAGTAATAAGTTTTGAAGTCAGGAAGTGTGAGACCTCCAGCTTTGTTCCTCTTTTTAAAGATTCTTTTATCTATTCTCAATCCCTTGAGAGTCTATGTGAATTTTAGTATGGATTTCTATTTCTGAAAAAAAAAATCCATTGGGATTTTAATAAGGATTGCATTAAATGTATAGATTTCTTTGGCTACTGTTGTCATCTTAACAATATTAAGTCTTCCAGTCCATGAACACGGGATGTCTTTCCATTTATTTATGTCTTTTGCACTTGTTTTTGAAGCCCCGTTATAAGCACAGCACCATCTTTGATCATGGGAAAAGGAAAAATTTAATATTTTTCCTAGAGTAGCTTACAGTCCAATTTGAAGAAGACAAATGATAGAATAAGTCAAGAGCACCAAAATCAGAGAGGGAGACAAACTGTAAGAGACTCTTAACTCTAGGAAACAAACTGAGGGTTGCTAGAGGGGAGGTGGGTAGAGGGAATGGGTAACTGGGTGATGGGCATTAAGGCGGGCACGTGATGTGATGAACACTGGGGGTTATATGCAACTGATGAATCAGTGACTCTACCTCTGAAATTAATAATACACTCACTGTATGTTATTAATTGAATTTAAATAATTTTTTTTAAAGTAAGTTAAGAGCATAGATGAGAAATGACACCAGTTGATGCCATGAGGGTCAGAGGAGGAAAGCCTGTCTGACCAGCCCTGGGACCCCTGGGCGACTGACGGGAGTGGCACAAACTGAGGAAAGAAGCAGTAAAGCCAGGGATCCAATGGGTTGGTGATCTGAATGACCAAAAGTGGACTGGAAAGCTAAAATAAAAAGAAGCAAGCCTGAGAGATCAAGGGGAAGCTTAAGCAGAAATGGACAACCTGGCAGAGATGGGGCAGGAGGCCAAAGCGGCACCCTGTGTGTGTGTATGTGTGGGAAGCAGCCTTTGCACATCAGGACAAACAGCAAAATAGAGACAGAAGGAGACCGTAAACCATTTCTGAGCTGGCAGACAAACAAACAAACAAAAACCAGTTTCTTAGGAAACTTACTACTGATCTCAGATCTGCCAGTTCGACCAAGAATATGCTCAGATTAATGTCTCGGAATTCTGTATCACTATTAGTAAAAAGAACATAAAACAAGGAACTTTTGGTTCCGGGCATGTACAGTGCAAAGGATAGCCAGTTGAGCATGTGATGTTGAAGTTCACGGCGTTTTTGTGCCAATGCAGGCTTGGAAAAAAGGCATCTGTGCAGTTGTTTGTTCAAGACAGGAAGGAGGATGGGCGCCTGGGTGGCTCAGTTGGTTAAGCGACTGCCTTCGGCTCAGGTCATGATCCTGGAGTCCCTGGATCGAGTCCCGCATCGGGCTCCCTGCTCGGCAGGGAGTCTGCTTCTCCCTCTGACGTCCCCCCTCTCATGTGCTCTCTCTCATTCTCTCTCTCTCAAATAAATAAATAAAATCTTTAAAAAAAAAAAAAAAAGACAGGAAGGAGGAATGATTCTGTCCTGATGATGATTATGAAGCGCCCGGCTCTAGGGGATTTTCTCTTCTGTTATCTCATCTAGTCCTCCTTACAGCTCTGTGGGGCAGAGATCATGGCTTCATTCTCAAGACGAACAGAGATTGGGGCGCCTGGGGGGCTCAGTCGGTTAAGCGTCTGACTCTTGGTTTGGGCTCAGGTCACCATCTCAGGGTTGTGAGATCCAGCCCCATGACGAGACCCCCCTAGTCAGGCTCTGCACTCAGTGGGGAGTCTGCTTGAGATTCCCTCTCTCTCCGTCTCTCTCTCTCTCCTCTAAAATAAATAAATAGAATCTTTTAAACAAATAAAGACGAACAGGGAGGTGCAGAGAGACTGTCCCAGAAACATGGAGCGCTGAGCAGTCACACCTCTCTAACACTACCTGTCTAACACTACCTAAGGGCCACAGCCACATCCACTTTCTCCGAGGTCAGAAATGGGGCAGGAGTAACAAGTCTGGCCTCCGCAGAACCCAGGCTTCAGATCTCCTGGGCAAGAGACCCACGTGTGTTCTAATCCCCGATCACAGACATGCGCAGCTGCTGTTTAACTTAAAGGAGGTTGTGCACACAGCATAGTCAGAGCCTTGGTGACATAAGGCCCAGAAATTGAGGCTCATGGAGCATCCTGGAAGGGAGTTAGTTCCAGGAGAATGTCTTCTTCCCCGAAGATCAGAAATGAAAATCGAAGAACGTGAGCGTAAGGACAGCGTAAGACAGCCCATGAGAAGAGTGCACCAGGCCTTAGCAGTTGACTCCAGAGCACTCCCTTAGATCAGCCTGACTCTTTGAACTCATCACTGAGTGCTCCTAACCCGCATGACAGGAGTGAGCTAGGACATGATGAGAACAAGCCATGGGGGTGAGTGTAGACTGCTGCCTACGTGCCACGGCAGGCCCAAGTCTGCCAGCCCCAAAGTGGCTCCTTGCCTGATTAGATCTAAGGGGAGTATGCACACTGTTAATGGTGGTGAAACCCAGCATGGCCGTAATTATTGAGATAAGTTGCTCAGAGGGAAGCATGTACCTGTTGAATGCCAAGCCTTGTTTTCATCCCAGAAAGGGTCCAAGAAAGCCACTCACCAATTTTCAAGGTCGATCTGGTTCTGTCACAGGCAGTGGAGCTGGTCCTGCCTCCCCAGGGGGGCCTGGCAAGGTCACCAGCTGCTTTTCTGTTTCATTTGCTCATTTTGTTCCCAATCTAACAAGACTGCCATCATTCTCTAAAACATGTAATCAATAGGCAGTGAGTTCAGAGGGGTTTTCCCCTCTGTCCTTGTATTTTATCCTACTTGGTGATTAAAATGAAATAAGAATTGGCAGGCTCCTTGGAGCCTTTCTGGTTCTACCTGGTTACTAATGGATATCTCACATATTCTTTTTCTTTTTTTAAAGATTTTATTTATTTATTTGAGAGAGAGAGCACGGAAGAGAGCACAAGTGGAGGGGGAGGGGCAGATGGCGAGGGAGAAGCAAGCTTCCCGCTGAGCAGGGAGCCCGATGCAGGACTCGATCCCAGGACCCCAACATCATGACCTGAGCCGAAGGCAATGCTTGACCGACTGAGCCACCCGGGCACCCCTCACATGTTCTTAGATAGGTGCCACCGTACCCAGCCATCACAGCCCACGGGGGGGAGTGTGACAGTACTTCAAGGAGCCTCTTCCCATCTGTAAAGAAAGAAATTAATGTAGAGTTACTAGTTGTTTTTTCCTGGCATGGAGCTTGGTCATTAAGAATGCTGTCAGAAGGCAGGTGTTAGAGGCGAGTGCGGAAGTTCATCCTTCCCATCTTTGCGGGCTCACAGCTGCCCTGATGGTTAAAACTCTTTGGGCTCTGAGTGCAGTCGTCAGCTGTCTCCACACACTGAGGCAAGGGAAGGAAGAGGCTGCAGTCTTGGAGCTGGAGAGCCAAGAGAGGCTGCAGGCTCCAACTCCAGCCCCTGCCCCCTCACAGCTGAAGACCCTGAGGCCACACACAAGTGCTTCGTTACTCACACCCGTCAGACCACCAGGCAGTTACTTACTTAGGACCTTTTTCATAAGGTGAGGTTCAGATTCGCTGGCCAGGAGGTGTGCCGGAAAGTTCATTGTGTTCTTTTTAGGGCTCTCTGAAAGATGAATTTGGGGAACGATGAAGCCAGGAACTGGTCACCCACATAAAGAGATAAAACATGTTAGAACTATTTTCTTAAAGAGGCATTAGGACCGTAATATCTAAGAGGTACCTTTGAATAAAATGTCTTTATTAGAGAAGGATGCAATAAACTTTCCCTTAGGAATAAAGAAGAGATGGTTTGGAAAGAAGAACCTACTATGGTAACTGGCCTTTTGTTTGAGAATGAGTTGGAATGTAGCAAAAGAGAAAAAAAAATGCCCTTTGGCCTGCACATAAACAAGATGTAGTAATTAGGGCAAGAACATTTGGATCCCTTGCGTTTGTACCTTGTGTAACACCCTTTCATCTTACAAGGTGCAATAATAGAGGATTTCAGTTCCTCTAGGAATCTTAGTTTAATGAATGCATTATTAGGAAAATTAAAATGTATTGTTACTTGTGCTCTACAAGAAGCTAGGTACACTGTTAACAAACATTTTTAATGTTGGCACATGAGTATAATGTGTTAAACTGAGGCTGAGAAATTATCAGATAGTCTGATCTCCCAAATTGACCTCTGAGACTGAGTTTTCTCATCTGTTAAGAAGTGAATGATGCATACTTGAAACATGGGTTGAGATTAGTCATAGAAAGACTGTACACAAACCCCACCGTGCGATAGTGTCATTTCTTCCTAGTACCCAGGTTTATTTGCTGGGAGCTGCATCACAAGATTCCAAAACAGGACCCTAAAGGCCAGAAAGGTTAGTGCACACCTGTGCTGGTGAAGTCCAATTTTATGGCAAGTGATTTTTAGCATAATCTGAAACCTAGCATGTGAATAGTATTCTGCAGCAATATTCTAAGTTAACACTTCTTTTAAAAATAAGAATTGTAATTACATTTGTGTATTTTAAAAGCCTGTCTTAAAAAAAGCTCACGTTCCCTCCAGTTCTGATTCTGTATAGTGTTTTCTTTATAGCCGTTATATCTGGAAATGTAGAGCAATAAATTCCAAGAAGAGCTCTAGGGAGAAGACCGTCTATGTTTTAGATCCTTTATCAGCAAGGACTCTGCCCCAGCCAGCAGGAATATTAAACCAGGAGGCAGCGGCCAGCGATCGCCACAATATTTTTACACTTAGACCAATAAAATGCAGCTATGTTACAAGAATGATTTCATTTAAAATTGTTTAGAGTTGCAGTGTTTCATTATTTGGGAGTGGTAATTAGCTAAGCTACCTGTGCATTAAAGGATTAGGAAACTAACAGATCTGACAATTCTCTATGCAAAACAGCTTTGCATTTTTGTTGAGGAAGCAGGAATCATACTTCTCCTTGTATAGAGGAAAATTTTTTTTTTATTTTATTTTGTATAGAGGAAAATTTAACTGTATATTTTTAACATTTGTTCAAAACTTTCTTAACTAGAATAGCAAGGAATAAAAGTTTAGCAGAAGTGATGCTTTTTGTATGTTTTTCTCACATATTCAGTAACATTGTGTTGCTAGTTACAAAATTGAGCCGTTCCTTATGGAGCAGCCCTCAATAGTGATATAAAAACAAGCCGTAGAGCCTCCCGTGTTACTGAATGCAGCTCCGTAGACAGTTTCAAATAAGTAAGGAACTGGGAAAGCGTGGAATTGGAGAGAAAGGTTTTCTTCAGATCAAACTAGATGTTGAGATGTGCAGGTATGTTAGGAGGTGGGACTTACTATGATATCCTTTCACACAGAATAACCACACTGCTTACATCGTCACTTTGAAAGAATAATAGTAGGAAAATCCTGAGAAGAGAGGATACCATTGCCCAAATTATCGAGCTCCAGGCCCGTTCTCATCAAATCAGTCTTTCCTTCCGTAAAACAAGGAATCTGATCCCTCTTTCAGGAAATAGATCTTGAGCACTCACTGTAGGCAGAATATGTGGCATTCACGTGCAGTATGGCTAGTGGGGCAATGAGCCCCCCCGCATCAGGGATGCAGGGGATTGGAGCCGTGTCGGGGGAAGAGCGTAGAGCTGCCCGAGGTCGAGGGAAGGCCAGGTCACTTCGGATCGGCGTGCTCTGGGAAGAGGTGGCATCTAAGCTGGTTCCTGAGGAATGGGTATGATGTGAGTAGGTCCAGATGGAGAGAAGGACATCCCAAGAAGAAGGAATGGCTTGTCCTTCCCACCCTGGCCTGAGAAGGTTTCCATGACTCTGCAGGACTCAGCCCAGACACCCTCTCCTCTGCAAAGCCTGTCTGTCCCATGACATGAAAGAGTGGGTACCCACCCCCCCTCCCTTTTTTCCTCCACTGTCCCCACTAACAACCCCGGTCACTGAGCTACTGTGATTGGCTTACAGGTCTATCTCCCCAACCATTCTGTGTGCAGCTAAAGGCACTGCAGTTTGTCTCAGTAACCGGAGTCTCAGCCACATGGATGCTTCCAAACCCTTCAGCCTACTGGGGACTGTTTTTAAAATAAAAAAACAAAACAAAACAAAAAAAACCCTGCTCAAATTCCTGTCCCTGCATGCCGAGGGCATCTTGGTGTTTCTCCCAGCAGTTGTGTGAATTACCTGGCTTCAGGGACTCTCATGTTTCCATGGGGCTCTCCATCCTTGTCTGGATCTCCTGCATCTGCCATTTCCCACATCTATAGCAAATAAGCCATCTGTAATTTCGAGGATGTGGCAGACAGGCTCTATCTTAATGAATAAGACAGTTTAAAATCATATCTTGGACAGGCTGGTTCTCCCAAGTCCCTTGTCATTGCTCCCTGTGCAACACTAGTTCTCTCGGGAGAGGGATCAAGCTTCTGTCCCTCTGGCACCTGCTCAGCTCCCTCACCAGGTCTTGTTATCTTTATGCAAAGCCTTTTTTAAAAAAAAGGTTTTATTGGGGCGCCTGGGTGGCTCAGTTGGTTAAGCGACTGCCTTCGGCTCAGGTCATGATCCTGGAGTCCCTGGATCGAGTCCCGCATGGGGCTCCCTGCTTGGCAGGGAGTCTCCTTCTCCCTCTGACCCTCCCTCCTCTCATGTGCTTGCTCTCTCTCATTCTCTCTCTCTCAAATAAATAAATAAAATCTTTAAAAATAAATAAATAAATAAATAAATAAATAAATAAATAAAGATTTTATTTATTTGAGAGCGTGGGTGAGAGGCAGAGGGAGAGAGAAACTGAAGCAGACCCCGCACTGAGCACAAAGCCCAACCTGGGGCTCGATCCCACAACTGGGAAATCATGACCTGAGCCGAAACCAAGAGTCGGATGCTCAACCGACTAAGCCACCCAGGCGCCCCTGCAAAGTCCTTTCCTACTCAACTCCCACCTAGCCAGGCCAGGGAAGGGGCAGGAGGCCTGACCTCCCCTGCCCACGGGAACCATCAAGGTGATCTGTTTGGCTGATTGAGACCCACAGGTTCTCGCTTACCTAGCTCATGAAGTAACCTCCCCACTCCAGCCTCGTGGCGTTTAGCTGTGTACGTTCAGCGTGCAGTACATGGAATGTGGTGGGCATGCGATTAATGCTTCTTCATTAGATTTCTAGATTCGGGAAGGTGGTAGAGTCCTGAGTATGTGTGTGCTTCCTGGTCGGTCCAACCTCTCCTGAATGCAGGGAATAAACCTGGAAAAGTGGGTTGGAATCGAACTGTCAAAGATACTGGAAGTCAGAGGAAGAATTTGGATTTTATTTGGCAACTAATAGACTTCTCTAACTGAGGGAATGTCACAAAGAGCTTCTGAAAGAATGAGTAGCATCCCAGGGAAAGAAGGGACACTGGAGCCAGGGAGACATTGGTCTTTGAAGGAGGAGGGGACTGTCGTCATCCAAGTACATGGGATCTGAAGGCCGTGGAAGGAAAATCTGAGAGCAAAAGATTTGAAAATGAATGATGTGGGCAAAATATAGAAGAAAGAACTAAAGTTGACCAGAATTTTAAGGGAGGGAGAGGCCAGTAATGGTTCCAGTGCAAGAGGAAAGGGAACAGGTGTATTTAGTAGGGGGCATATATTGACTTCATTTTAAGCATTCCTGTATCCATTCAGCAGCTGCCAAGCACAGTGCTAGATCCTGAAGATAGAGACGACTGAGAAAGGCACACTTCTGCCCCTCATGGAGCTTACATTTTAGGGAGGCTGACAGTAGAACAAGAAACTAATTGACAAAGTAAGTACAGACTGTGAAAAAGCTGTGAAGAGGGACATGAAGAGGGGACGCTGGGACGGCGAGAAGCAGGGGACGACTTCTGGGGTGGGGGGCTGTGCTCAGGAGGGCATCCTCACAGTGCACGGGTCCCCGCAAACGGGCAAAGAACACTTTCTGCCCGCGTGCAGCTTTCTCTCTCTCATTCCACTGGGGGAAAGAAGCTCAGTGGTTAAAAGCAAAGGGCTTAGGAGTAAAGCAGGCCAGAAGTTGAAGCTCATCGCCCTCCACCCCCACTCACCCCTCTGTGACTTTAGGCCACTTACTGACTCCCAGTTTCCTCGTCTGCAAAATGGAGAGCATATCTAGCCCCTGAAGTGACAGGAAGAATGAGCCACTGTAATGGATTGAAACCACAGAGTGAGTGTGCAGGAGTGGTAGCTGCGGAGAGCGTGGTGGCCCGGGGCGCAGAGGCACCTGGCGAGCAGAGCGGTGCGGGGGGCCATGCCCACGCGTGGGTGCAGCGTCCCGGAGGCTTGCACGGACGCAGCAGTGGTGCCATGAAAACACACTGAGCACAGGACAATGAAGTACAAGGCGGTGAGAAAAGCAGGAGCGAGGGGCAGTCAGGGACAGGTCTTGAGCTGATCGGGGAGTTCAGCTTAGCTGCTCTTTGGCCCTTTTCTGGAAATTGAGAGGAGAAGCAGGAGGCTTGGGGGGCCATGTTGAGGGGAGAGTTGGAAGCCGGGCAGGGGGTCTCACGGTGGTAATTTACCAGTGCGGCTCACAGGCCCCCAGTCACAGCCGTAGTGGGGGCACCCGGGGCTGAAGGGTATCCACATGCATGCTGTAACTCACATGTTGCCTCAAGGTGGGACTGGGGGTCCCAGCTGGCAGGTGAGGGTCTTCCTGGAGTTGGTCCCTGGGGGAAAGGCAGCATATCATCAGCCTAGAGGCTGCAGGCTAAGTGTTGGTGCTGTGGGCGTGAGCCTGCCAGGCCTGGCCTGCACAGCTGGAGGATGTCCAGGGAGGAGCTCGAGGTTGCCAGGGGAGCAGGCAGGAAATACGGAGTCAGGACCCAGCAGGATGCCTGCCATGGGGCTGGGCCTCAGGGCTGGGAGGATAGGCCTCCGAGGAAGCTGGGAGCTCGAGGGGGGCTGTAAGCCCTGGGAGCGGGTCGCTGAGGCAGAATCCGGACGTGGTCTTCAGGGAGTGCTCACCTTCAGGGGGTTCTCCTTTGTGCTCGTCAGGGTTTTAAAAGGACTTTTGCAGGCTCCACTTGCCTCCTTTAAACAGCTTGGGAGCCACTTGGTGATGGGAGTAATTGAAGCAAGAGAACCTCAAGGGAAGGGCAGACCTGGAAGTGTCCAGCTAAACTGTGGACAGGCGGGGCTGCATTTTAAGGAGAGGGGCCATTTTTCCTTATAATATCTACCGTGTACCCAGAAGTGGGCTGGGTCCCAGCGACACCAAACTAAGACCTCAAAATGCATATGGGTCTGAGGGAGTGATTCTAGGACAGCTTTTCTGAGGAGCCCCCTCAGAAATTCTGATTCCTTCGGCCTAGCTAAGGATCCTGCCAACTCCACTTCTAACAAAATCCACAAATTTGCTGAGGAACACTTGATTTCTCTGAGGAGACAAAGATCAAGAAAGGTAACCAGATAAGAAAAGGAAAGAAACCACCGACTTGCTCGGCCTGATGCCACCTCCTCAGCAGCCACCCCGAGGATGTAGCTGGGTCCACTCTTTCAGGGCCAGAGGTGGTGGTTAAAAGCCCCTGAAGAGTCCCCCTAAGCAGCTATTCCAAAACAGGAAAAAAAAATAACAGAAAGAGAAGAAAAAGCTCAGAGTGAGGAGGGGGTGTTACGTGAGGAACACAGGTGAGGGGCTGTGTGTGGCTGGCTGTTCCTGGTGTGCATTAGGATCAGAGTCATCCCGCCCCGAGCACCACTGAGTCCCACTGACTTCCTGTGGGGCTCTAGTGACAGCCCCTGCTGGGCCCCCACTCACCCACCTCCTGACGGGACTGGCACAGCCACGCTACCAGCAGGTCATGAAGGCCAATTCTATAAAATCGAAATATCACACTGTGTTTCTCCTCATAAGGACGAATAAACACACTTCGTTTATCACTCGAGAGTATGGTCGCCAGGAAACCCAGTTCTGCAGCCCAGAGCACAAGGCCAGCTTGGCCTTAACCTGAGGAGAGGGGAGTATTTTGAAGGTATAAAAGGAGAAAGTTATTTTCTCCCCCCACAAAGCCAAGCATTTCAGACAGGCCAGAAGAACAGTTACAGAACTGATGACAAGGAAATAAGCTGAAATGAGCCAGATTCAGAGACATGCAGCCTGCCGCTGTCCCCCGGTATCTAGAGAGCATGACTTCCACGCAGAGAGCCGTGTGGGGCGCAGAGTGGCCCTCCTTAGCGGGTAACCAGACAGAAAGGACAGGAAATCCCAAAGGAGTAGGCGGGGTCAGGGCCTTCTTGTGGGCGCTGAGGAACTTTCTAACGTGTTTCGCATCATTTGGGGGAGAAAGATGTGTTGGGTTGTTGGCAGCATTTCTATTTCCCCTTCATGAAGGTAAGCCAGAGAAATGCAAGGAGCCCCCATGACATATATAAAATATTAAACAGAAGGTTGGCCAATATTTTAAAGCCTCTGCTGCGAGTGGCTCCTTCAGAAGGAAAGGAGAGAGAAGCTGTTCGGGAGAAATGAGCTGTGAGCACCGGGCCACCGGAGCGTGATGCTCTGAGTCTTCAGGCCTGAGCTCATCTGCCAGGATGGCTAATGCGTCTTTTCATCCTCTACCCTCTGTGCCTCCTTGGATGCTACGCCCTTGCCAGGGCTCCAGTTAGAGGGATGGTGGCGCAAGAAGCACTGAGTCAACCTGATAAAGATCAAAGTGGCCCTTCAGGTTCTGCCACAGGCTCGAGTCAGGCAGGCACTCACTGGGCTGTGAGGTGCCCTGACCCTGGTTGAAGTATCTCGCTCCTCTGAGAGGGAGAAGGTAAATCTTCTCTCCTAAAAGACCTCCTCTGTTCCATGCCCCCGCGGCACTTGCTGCGTGCCATTAGTTGGCCTCCATTTATTTTTGCTAACTTGGTGATAGTGACTTAGGTTATCCCATGGGAACTTACCGTATCCGGTCCCACTCTCGTCCTCCAGAAACTCCAGGGTGACTACAAGTGGATGAGGACCCGAGTGAGCCCAGGGGTTCCTTCTGGGCCTCTGGGCTCTGGAACTGCTGACAGAGGCTGTCTGTGCTGCTCTGGAGTCCAGCCCTTTCCCAGGACGCCCTAAAATGAGTCCAATCTGATCACCAGCCCCTAGGTAGTCAACACGCTCCCCAAGTGGATCGCTGAGGCCACCCCCAGGCAGAGGGTCTGACGAGTACCCAGAGGAAGAAATGTATCCAGGGATCTTTCTTGACAAAGCTATAAATAAATCCTTACATCCCGGATTCACTGCCACGTGTAGCAGTTTCCCTCACCCCACCCTCAGGGTTCTCTGACCAGCCAGCTCCCTACCATCACAGGGTCCTAGCCCGAGCTGCTTCCCCCACTTGGATTGCTTCCCCAGGGTCTCCCGTAGCTGGCTCCTCCTTGTCAGTCAGCACTCTGCCGGAACATCACCTGGTCAGCATCACTGACCCCCCTTACTCAACATTATTTTCATCCTGGTCCTACCTTCCTCCCTGCTCGTTTGCTTCCAGCCAGCACCCCCGTGGTGGAGCCCGAGCTGCCAGCTGTCTCGTTGGCTGCTGTGTGAGGTGCTGTGGGGACACAAAGGTGGATTCGGGGTAACAAAGAAGATGGTGGGAATGATTTCGGGGCATAGGGAGACAGCCAGGACTTGAAGAGAGGAGGAGAATGAGCATGTGTGGAGGGCCTTATGTGACAAGCACTCAAGCCCTCACATCCTTACTGCAGCTCCAGGGTGTGGTACGAGTGAGGAGACGGAGACTCATCTAGTGAATGGTGAATCTAGTTTTTCAGCCTAAGTCTCTCTGCCCCCAAGTCCCATGAGCTTTTACAGGGGTATGGTTTAAATAAAGGAAGAGGAAGAGCGAGAATATGACAGGCTATGGGGAACTAACCGTATGATGAAAGGGGGCAGCCCATCGCTCCAGTCAGAGGTTTCAGTGGGGGCTTTAAAGAACCAGCCCCGAGGCCTGAAATGGCCTCCAATGCATCTTGCTAAGCCTCTAGGCCCCGATGGAGCCTTCGAGTTTTACCCTGACAGTAGCCGCAATTTGTGGAGGGCCTGCTCAACATCAGGCACTGTTCTAAGCACTTACAGTATCTCTAATCTTTATTACTGGCAGATAGAATATTACAGGTTTATAAATTATAAAACTGAGGCTCGGGTAGTGAGTGACAGCGCTGGGATTCAGCTGAGGCCAGCTCCACACGTCACTCTAAACCAGCCCCGACGACTGTGCGCCCGGGGTCCCCAGCCAGCACGAGGTGGGAGTTCCATTCCACGCTGCCCCCAGCCATCCCAAACTGCAAGTCGCAGAAGATTCTGTAACACCTTTGCGCCCTTCAGCTCCTGATCTGACACCTACACTATCTTTACCTTTGCCCTTTGCCGTCCTCCCTCCCACTCATTGTTCACAACCCAGCTCAGGGAGCGTTTACTCTGTTACTCTGTTTACTCTTGGTCCCCGCAGAGCTGCGGTCCCCTCCTCTAGCCCACTGTGAAGGTTGCTCATCCTGGTTCCAGAGGGACAACGCTAAGACCAGACCTCCCATTAGTGATGAGCTAATTACCTGGTCCGGAGTCGGAGAGATGGGGCTTTGAATTATTGATTTGTGCAGGTGCCTCGGTGACAGGCTTACCCCAGGGCAATTTTAAGGCCACCAAAATGCTCATTGTCCTCCCCTTTCTCGTCCCTCTTCAGGTCTCAAGCCTGTCCCTACTCCCTGCACTCATGTGGCCTCCCTCTCTGTTCACCTGCTCCGTCGCCCACTCTGGGCTGTGGCACACATCAGATGATACGCCATGAGCTCGCTGGTCTCTACCACAGGACCTTGAGCTTCTCGAAGGCCGGGTGATTATGGCTACTGAGTGCATGGATGGCTGAATGTTGCCAAGATTACATGAGAAAATAGGCCAAAAGGTCCTAGTAAAGCGCTACACAGCTGTTGTTTTGTGAGAAATATTACTGTTGTTATTACTATTACTAAGATGGTGATAATTAGACGTCCCCCTTTCTTTCTGAGCTCTCACTGTCCAAACTCCAGAACTAAGTCAATTTGGATAAAGTCTTTAGATACACGTGTTCTCCAGACCTGCTCTCGCCTTCGCTACCCAGACCCTGAAACTGAAAAGGTATGCACCCTGAGGAACAGTTGTGTTTCTGTTAGTCACGGTCATGGTGGTGGCATAAATAAGACCAGACAACTCTTTTGAATTCTGTGAGTTGAAGTCTTTTCATAGAAAAGGGTATTCTGAGGGGGTCAGATACTGAGCAAAGGCCATTTGGAAGTTTCCCAAACTCACAGAGTTCCCATGTCAGGCGTCTCTTACTATTCCTTGTGGTCCTAGAAAGCCAACAGTTCCTAGAAGATTCCACCCCAAAGCCTTGTTCTGCCGGGGGACGTCCACCGGGAGTCTCACAGCCTAGTAATGTCAGGGGGGCACAGACTGGAAAGAATTCTTCCACAGGCAAATTGCCCACTGGTCTGTGTTTCAGCTGCTTACAAAGTCCATGATCATGACCATTCCTGATGGTGCTTGATGGAGCCGAGAGTTGTGTTTTTTAGAAAATGACATTTTTTCATAGGAACCTAAACAAGATACTTTATCTTCAAACCTCTTATAAAACCTTTCACCCCCAGCTGGAGAAGAACAATGAATTCACTTTTGCTGTAAAAGCCACGGCTGCATCAAACTTTTTCACAGTGTGCTGTTTTGACATCAAGTGCCATGTGCTTATGCGGTGTGGTATCTCCTGATATGCCCCCTTTTTGTTCTGACCCACGTTTCTGCTCCCGAATCTGCTCCAATGTACAACCTACACAGGCAGGCTAACCAACAGTTTTAGTGTTTCTGGACCTCTATTGAGTGCACGTATAGTCCCCTTCCGTTAGGTCTTCAACAAGTTCTCCGGGGTGGGACTTCATCCCCGTCAAGGGCCTCCGCTTGCTGGGAACGCGTGACTCGTGGTACACATCAGCTGTCAGCCCACTTACTAAATGGAGAAGAAGGGGGGGAGTCTAGAGAAATGAGCTAATTACCTGGTCCGGAGTCGGAGAGACGGGGCTTTGAATCCAGGCTCTACCACGAATGGACGCTGGGCACGTCACTTCACCTAGCAGAGCCTCCCTTCCCTCACGGAGCTCACAGGACTCTTAGAAGGTTTAACAGTACGAGGTATGTAAAGTGCTTAGCGCATAGCTCGGACGAGGGGTTACTGTCAGCTCAGAGGGTTCCCCAAGTCCCCCAGCCCTAAACTAGTCATTGGGCCCAGAGCCATTCTGGAGGGAATGGCAGCCAGAAGTGCTCCACATCTGAGTCCCGGATGGCCGGGGCTGGGGAGCGGGGGCGGCTCCCTGGCCCACTGAAGAGGGGACCTCCCTTGAGAGCCCCCTGAGTAGAGGCTTCCTGACCCGGCAACACTCCATACATTTGATGATGATTTGCGTCCGTGGGAAACGTATTCCCGTACCTTCCCCACTATTTATTTACCCTGAAGGTGCCGCAGTGACATGCACAGCTCTGGGCAGTAAGATACGGCAGGTGTGCACTTCACAGCCGCAAGAGAGCTGAGAGCACTCAGGCTGGCCAGGTTATATGGAAAGCTCCCCAAATGTCCACGGGTGCTTTCCTGAGGAGAGTTTGGAGGCCCAGTTCCCTCTGGGCCTCGTGCCGCACGCCACCACCCAAACTCATGCCTCCACCCTCGGGTCACTTGCCTCCTAACCAGCGCCCTCTGCGCGGAGCCTTCCAGCCTCCCTGGACCGCAGAGGCCCCTGCCACCTGACTGTGCACCAAGTCCCCAGCTCCCCGCCACGTCCTGGCTTCACCGGGAGTAGAACGCGCAGTGCGGTGCTGAGGCTAAGCCAGCCCCAGCCCCGCGGGAGCAGAACTCACGAGCGGCTGCTTCTGCCGTCGAGGCCGTTGTGCATCAGTGAGCCGTCGTTAGGCAAGGAGATGCCACCCAGCGTCCCTAAGGGTTGATGCAAGGAACGCAGCGCTGGGCATGCACCAGCAATCCGAGCCCAGGAGCAAGCAGGAGCTTAGAAAAGGGACCTTGAAAATTCTTCCAGTCCCTCCCTTCCCTCATTGACATTTGAGGAAAGCTCAAGTGACGGAACTCCTGTGGCTGGGCCAGGGCTAGGCCTCACCGCTCTGCTCGCTCCCACATCATCCTGCTTCCCCATACAAAATCCTGGGACGATCAGGTTTGGGCAGGCCTTTCCAGTTCCGAAATCAAACTCCGAAGGAATTGACAGTGGTGCGGTGAGGGCTGCCTGATGCGGCAGTCGGAAGCCCATTCTTAGGGTGATAGTGTTGAGGCCCGGGCTCTGAGCTCCTCCGAACTGGGGGCTCTTCCCTCCACCAAGCACCAACCTTCTAGGAACCTTCATGGGGCTCTGTCTACTTATGTGAGTCTTTGATCCTATGAAGTCTCCGTACGACACAATTGAGGTGTCACAGTAAAACAAAGTGAACGCAACTTTGAAGTGGGTCGCAGTCTTCATTTTTGCCAGCCTTCCAACCCTGACTAGCCCCTTATCAGTCCTGGCCCAATCTTTAGAACACCTCTCTTCCCCACAGCTCAGGAGTCCCGGGACCTTCTAAGTTGGTGTCAATCTGCAAAGATAGGCCTACTTTCAGTGCCAATGAGCTTTTGTAGACTTGATGTGGCCAGAATTCTAGAACCATCCAATACTCTAGTCTTTGTCCCTCTTTCCTGTGTTTATTTGCAGAGTACATCATGCACACCAAAGAAAATGAGGTTCCTGCTTGGTGCTTTTATCAACTTACTGAGCAGGAGAAACAACACAGAGATGTAAACATTCCTGGGACCAATTCCTTGTGGCTTGAGGAATTCACCCCTTGATTTCCTCTGACATTTTGGAGGGTGTCATCTCTGTCATCGTATGGCCCCCTTAGTTATTAAGGATGACACCACAGTGGACACTGCTCTGGAAATGCTACATAGGCGAAGGTTCTAACTGCAGAGTCGTGTCCTAAAGACAGTCCTAGGCAAGGAGAGAAGAGCAAATCAACAGAAGCAGCAGAGGAAGCAGCATCGTTTGGCATTGCTGCCATGGCAGGGGGTTTGGGGAAGGGGTAGGATCTTCATATTTCTATAACCAAGAATTCCTCACTTCTGGATAGGGCTGTTATTTCCAAAGCATTTTCACATACACTCAAGTGTTATTTTAGGCAAGCTGGCAGAGTGCGAACCAAACTCTTGTTTTATCTGCGGACTTTAAAGCCCCGCTCCGCTGTGGGCAGCCGTGCAGCTCAGACTCTGGGCTTTGTCGTGAAGGCCGCTCGGACTGCAAACAGAGCACCTGCCAAGGGTTACTGTGCAGAATGTCACACTTGGAGTCCCCACCAAAGCTTTCATCAAAGCCAACCTGATTATTTTCCACTGCATTTTCCTGAAAGGATGTTATGATTTTCTAGATGTTTGGTGGCTGGCGATAAATCAGGCTTTTATGATGTCATGTGAAAGGCCACCTCTCGGACTTCCTCCTGCCACAAGCCATAGATTAAAAGCGGGGCCGTGTTGGTAGGGCAGAGTGGACGCAG